TATATATATATATATATATATATATATATATAAGATCACCAAGAGAATAAATTAAAAAATAAAACCAAAATACTCATACATTATACATTATGTTTAACAAATCGAGGAGAATCACAGTAAGCATAATCATGTATTACATTATACTTAAATTATTTGCTGCACAGATGGGCAAACACTCACTGACTGAGTAGCCGATCTAAGGCTAGAACAAGTTCAACTTTTATTTCACATGAACAAGTGTTGAACTAAAGCTGGGATTCATTGAAGACAAAATTGGTAGACCTTGGTTGTAAGATTGGCAACTAAAAATCAGTAATTTGCACTGTGGAGATTTCAACACCGTAACTTGCCATGGCAATTTTCAATGCCAAAATAGTAGAACTACGTGTTGGGTGATTGTAAGCGTCTATTATGGGTGTATATTAGCCCATGCCAAGATCAGTTGAGCACTGTGTTTACAATCCTAAATTATTATATTCTAGAAAAATTGAAGAGTAATTAATATGTTCTTTTCTTGACATCTGTGATTTCAAGAGTCATGTAAAAAATCATCAATAGTAGTTACAAATAGATTAAATAAATGAGTCCGAGAAAGATGACACTGCAACATTTGAAGGGTCACGTATATAACAACATTAACAGTAACAAAAAACGGAGCACATACCAACACGAATGCTCACTGTTTCTACAATCATTGAATGTATGACATTAGACAACATATATCAAAATCACATGAAGCACACCCAGAGCTACAAACCAAATCACCAACAGAATTGGAATCCAAGAGGCATTTAAAATAGGTGGAAACGAAGTGTATACTGTATTCTTGCTCAGTGCACAAACCATGTTCTTTACTAGATTAAATGAACTAATCAGACTTTCAGATACAAGAACTATCTAAAATGCCACAAACCTGATCCACTGAGGCCCGTTAGCCATATAACGCAGCCTTTTTGCTGAAGTAGCTGCTGTCTATCTTGTTTCTGAATTGGACAGTCATGCCACAAAATGTTTGTTGAGTTACCAACATTTGACATCTGGGGGAGATTTTTACCTAGTTAGATAATAGACTGGTTAACTCTGAAACAATTTGAGCCCTAATTCCCTGAAGAATCACATATTCATTCGCTTCAAAGGGAGACAATAAATGAATGGGGGAAAGTCAACTACCCATGTGTATGCATCAATATTCAATCCTCATAATAATTCAACAAAGTCAACGAGACTTCCAGTTCCACTCAACCAAAATTCAACAAAGAAATCGTCTGTTTCTCTTAACCTCTAGAAGGCTTAGAAAGAACAGTTCAAGCCTCAAAAGATGAACACGAATAAAAGCAAAAAAAGTAAAAATTACCTTTTTTTTTCTATTATTTATGAGCACGACGAAGATGCTTACCAGAAAAGTAGCCTAGTAGGCTTTTTCAGCTTTCAAGAGCCACTCAACAAGAATCTGTTCGTTTTATTTCCGGGAGAAACAAACGCATCAATTTATATTGAATGTTCGGCATAGTATAGATGAAAAAAGTTGCTTGCTCTGCTACACGCCACTGAATTATGATTATGACCCACGTAGCTGAGCTGTACAATTTTTAAATGGTTCAACACGAATTTCTTACCTCGCCGTCTTTTCTAATAAGTATTTGGTTGAATTTGAATGCGCGTGACCAATTGAAACAGACGCATTTTTATTTATAACTTTTAAAATTAAAAAAAAATTAAGATTCCGAATTTGTCTAAATTCCTCTCCGCACGGTATAAAGAACCTCGTTGAAATTTATCCACAAAAAGACTCTTATAGTTTGCATTTCAGAAAAAGACATTAATTCCTGACACCAGATCTTGATAGTGAACAGAAAACGAAAATCGCAGTACCAGGAAATGCAGTAGCACGTTCCTCCGTGTCCGAATCCTCCTTTGCCTGAATTGGCTTGAACCAGTCATCGATCAAAGAAGCACCTGTGTTCTGCTTCGCCTTAATCGGCTTCGATCTCGCGTGGGCGACGAAGCTTCTGCGACTTCGGTACAATCCGCCGACATTGATTCCTCGGAGCTTGGCCAACCCTAGCGTCTCCACCGCCGGCGACTGCCCGCTTTCGATTTTTCGGAAGAAGCCGGAGGTACACGGCGGTGGCGGTGCTTTCGCGGTGATCATCTGCGGCGGAGAGAGAAGAATGAGGCGGCGAAAATAATAAAACCGATTGTCTCCGTAACCGTTTTCCGTTATGGCTAATGTTTGTAATTTACATAGGAAGCTCAGTGAAGATTTGATTTGGCATTTAACTGTTAGTGATAGCAAAATGAAAGCAGTGGCGGACAAATAACAAATATTCCCAAACATAATCATATAATGTCTATATCCCACTTCCAATTAAATGAATTCACTCTGATTTTATAACCTTTACTTATTTAACAAATTAAATATAAAAAAGAAAACAAGAAAAATCAAATACAAAAAAATATAATTAAGTAGTGGTTACATTAATAAACATATTTAGTTTTATTACGAGGTCACTTGTTAAGAAATAAAAAAAATTTATCGAAAGTAGTATAAAAACACATGCAGAAATGGTAGTGAAGCGTATTATACAAGGTTTTTTTTTTTTTTTATATCCAGCGCCGCTACTTTTAGAAAAGAATTGTAACCTGCTATTTGTTGAAATTTCGTATCAAGAACCTCAAACATTCATTAAAATTAATATTTCATTTAATTAAAGGATTTTTTAATTATATAATTAGATAATGTGAAAGTGGTAAAAACATTTCTTTATTTGAGTACATCAATTTCCTTGCGGTTTATAATTGAGATTGGAGGTACTTCTATAATAATCTTTTAGTTTGTAGGGTGGATGTCAATGTCTAATTTTAGAAAATAGTTTAAGAGTTTCAAAAATTATTTTCACTTCTCAAATGATACTTTCAAAAGATATATATTTTGACATCTGTTTCATGGTTGAGAGTTCAAATATTAATAAATTACTTATTTATTTTATTTTAAATCTATATTTATAGATTTTAAAATAGATTCTTGATTAACAACAGTTTAATTAGTGATAATTATACTTTATCTTGAATTGTTCAACATTATAATTAATTAAACAATGAACGATGGATCATATTATGTAACCATCTGATTTTAGTGGTAATCAATTCATACGTCTTTCTAACAGTTAATCATCTGATCGGTAGCTACCCAAACAATTATTCAATACCCTAAGCAGTGATGTGATAATGTTTCATTAATTAAATTATATACTAATTTCTTTTCCTTAAATTAGAAAATTGATAAAAGTTTATAATTATTGTAAGATACCTAATACAGGGAGCAGGTATAAAATAATAAAGCTTGCATAAACAGTAATATAGTATCGTCGGTTAAACTATATTTCATTGTTTATTTTCCTTTTTAAATGAATAAAAACTTAAATATTTATAATATTTAAAAAATATTAAGTTCAATAAACCACCGTGCATAAAAAAAACAAAGCTCGGAAACAAAGATAGCATCTTTGAAAATCTAACTTTGTACATGAACATTTTAATACGAGAAACACTGATGATGTATTTTTCTTCATATGAGAGACTAATGATTTTTCAAAACGGTTAAAAGAAATTTGATTGGCGAGAAAAGTATCATATATTTAACCCAGAAAACATTATAGTGAAAGTTAAAGCAACTTTTTTTGGAAAACTTTTGAAAAAAATATTGTTGGTAAAGATTCTTTTGAGGAGGTAATGTGGTGTGCCTCACCAAAGCAATGAGGGTGGCAGTGATCGTGTGGCGTGGATCACGTTTTCTCTTTCTCTTATGTTCAAATCGCGCCATTCATTCTGAGCAGTGCACACCAATTATTTCGTGTGTTGTCCATTTGTTGATCGCCAAATCATATAAAATGATTGGATGTAACTTTAATGGGACTCGTGTACTCAACTAGTTTTCTTTTTATCTAAATACCTAAAAGAAGACAAAACGCTGCTAATCTTTAAAATAATGTATTTTAGACCAATTCATCCATTCAAAAAGCCTAGCACACAGAATTTTCTTTTTACTTTACATGTTTGTGTGATACATCTTGATAATCTAGGAGGATCAGGATTATTAATTGTGCATTACTGAGATAGTGTGTTGAAGGGTATAAATTAAAAATAAAACTTTTAAGTCTCTATAATATGAGTGTTGATTTCTATGTTAAAGTGAAGGCGGATTGGCATAGATTTATTTTCTACAAGAGTTGTAAAGTGCCCAAGATGAATCATCATAATGCATTTAAAACTACTATAAGGGTTTATTTTATTTGTGATGCTTTTTCTTTCACCATGCCGAATGGATTATTAAATGAGTCATTCTCTCACTTATATTTCTTGCATGAGATCTCAGCTGAGGAAAAAACTGATTTTGTATAAAAGATTGCTAACCTTCTAATCAACCATTGTACTCTCACTATTTTTTTACACTCGAGGAAAGAAGAAAAAAAGAAGTAATAGATGGATGAAAAATGAAAAAACAAATCTAATAAATACTATAAGAAAAATAAGTAATGGATGGATGAAAAATGAAAAAACAAAACTAATGAATAGTAGTAGTATAAGAAAAAGAGTCGGGGCTTTCTTTCTTCATGCATCCAACGTTTTGNAAGTTAAAGCAACTTTTTTTGGAAAACTTTTGAAAAAAAATATTGTTGGTAAAGATTCTTTTGAGGAGGTAATGTGGTGTGCCTCACCAAAGCAATGAGGGTGGCAGTGATCGTGTGGCGTGGATCACGTTTTCTCTTTCTCTTATGTTCAAATCGCGCCATTCATTCTGAGCAGTGCACACCAATTATTTCGTGTGTTGTCCATTTGTTGATCGCCAAATCATATAAAATGATTGGATGTAACTTTAATGGGACTCGTGTACTCAACTAGTTTTCTTTTTATCTAAATACCTAAAAGAAGACAAAACGCTGCTAATCTTTAAAATAATGTATTTTAGACCAATTCATCCATTCAAAAAGCCTAGCACACAGAATTTTCTTTTTACTTTACATGTTTGTGTGATACATCTTGATAATCTAGGAGGATCAGGATTATTAATTGTGCATTACTGAGATAGTGTGTTGAAGGGTATAAATTAAAAATAAAACTTTTAAGTCTCTATAATATGAGTGTTGATTTCTATGTTAAAGTGAAGGCGGATTGGCATAGATTTATTTTCTACAAGAGTTGTAAAGTGCCCAAGATGAATCATCATAATGCATTTAAAACTACTATAAGGGTTTATTTTATTTGTGATGCTTTTTCTTTCACCATGCCGAATGGATTATTAAATGAGTCATTCTCTCACTTATATTTCTTGCATGAGATCTCAGCTGAGGAAAAAACTGATTTTGTATAAAAGATTGCTAACCTTCTAATCAACCATTGTACTCTCACTATTTTTTTACACTCGAGGAAAGAAGAAAAAAAGAAGTAATAGATGGATGAAAAATGAAAAAACAAATCTAATAAATACTATAAGAAAAATAAGTAATGGATGGATGAAAAATGAAAAAACAAAACTAATGAATAGTAGTAGTATAAGAAAAAGAGTCGGGGCTTTCTTTCTTCATGCATCCAACGTTTTACTTCCTGCACCTCCAAACTTTTGTGATGTCACATATGTCTCTACCAAATATATATAATATTAAATTAATTAGATAAGCATCAATTATATTTACTGATCATTTATTTCAAAGTCATTTTCACAATCAACTCTAACCATTTATATTTACTTTTAATATATTTAATATATATGGATTTTTAAATTCGGTTAGCAAAAGTATTGATCGGATTTTGAAAGTTGAAGGAAAATAAATTTCAGTCAGCATTGAATTTAAAATCCGATTAAGGATTTCTCCTAATTTCGAAATTTGGTAAAATATTTTCTAGATTTTGAAATTTCTTTAAAGACTTTTTTTTTTTTTGTAATTTGATTAAGGATTCTATCAATTGAAATCTGATTAGCAAAAAGAAATTAACGATTTCGAAATTTAATGAAAAAAATGAAATCCATTTTCTATTAGTATAGTGTGAAATGTTATTATATTGGTTTTAATTTAATATATATATATATATATATATATATATATATATATATAAAATTTAATTTTGGAACTAAACTAAAATCAAGATACAGATAGTAGGGATTTGACACATAACAAAAATTTTATAAAAAAAATAAAAATTATAAAAGCTTGTGACATGCCTTAAAAAATGATTTAATTGAAATATTTCTTTAAAAACACAATTAAAATTATTTTTAGAAACAAGATCAACTTGAGAGATTTTAACTAAAGTGGAGATCATTTGATTAATTAAGCGTATTAAATAATTTATGTTTTATTTTAATAGTATTATTCTATTAAAATAAGGTATTATAAATAATTTTTAAAAATTTATTTTAGATGATTTTTATGTATGTTGTAAATGATTTTTTATTATAAATAATTATTTTAGTTTTAAAAAAATAAAAATAGGCAAATAAAAAACAATTAAAAAAAATGCTTACAAAATAAAATTAGTAAAATGATATTATTTTAATTTAAAAAGATCATTACTTAAAAAGTAAAATTAAAAATAAAATATATACATAAAAAGAAAAATTATTAATATAGATGATAAAGAAAAAAAAAAACAAAGTTAAGTAATATTGTAAAAAAGAAAATGAGATATTACATGAAACCTGTTTCTCATGTTTTTTTTCTTTGAAAGATGTACTTTTAGTAGATATGTGGTGGTTGAAAAAGATGGTTCATGGAAAAACCAAGGTTCAGAACAAATTATGATGATTTGATAAAAGTGCATAAATGATGCCTATAACTGAAATTCATTTTGTTGAGTCTTCGGGACAGCATATGTGGTGTGGTAAAGTAGTGTATATTAAAATTTTCTAATTGCTTTCTAATTTTTGAAGAAGTGTTTTAATTATTTTTTTTAAATTGTTAACGATGTTAATACATGTCATGTATTAACAATTACTAGTTTTAATATTTGGGTTAAATATGATTTTAGCAAGCGATTTTATTTTTTTTTCTCTCTTTCGAACTTTGTACCTCTTTTAAAAATCAACTGAGGTGACTAAGTGTATGTGCACTAGTAAAAAAAAGGTTTTAACACGCCTACTAGTCTCGATTTGGACATACCCGAAGCAAATATAAATTGCGGTGGAAAAAAAGAAAATTGCAATTTGTGCGAACTTAAGGCCTCGGTTCAACAGGAACCACGAGGCATATAAACATATTAAATGGTTAAAACTGCCCGGAGCGTATAAATCTCGCGTATAGCCCGATGTAGGAAGAACCGAGGCAGTAAAGTAAATTACTTCTTCTACTATTCTCGGTTAAAGAAACAACAGAGTCAATTTACCCTACCTACCTGCTCTTCTCTTATCTGTGCTCCTCTTCTCTTCTGCTGCCACATCGAAGAAATTCTTTCTCTCGCGACTGCCATCCAACCACATGCTTCGTCAGCCTCCCCCCGCTGCTTGCTTCTCACCGTTGCGGCCTCCTCGTTGCTGCTCTCCTTCGCGATGGTCACCACTGCCTCGTCGTCGAGCTCCCGTTCGTCTACCCGCTCTTCTCTCTGCTGCCATCGAAGAAATTCTTCTCTCCCGCTGCCATCCAACCACTGCTCGCGCCTCCCCGCTGCTGCTCCCACACCGCCGCGGCCTCCCCGTTGCTGCCTCGCCGTCACGTGGTCAACCACTGCCTCGTCGTCGAGCTCCCTGTCGTCACCAGCTTTGTCCAGATTGCTCCAGATCCACTACAGATCCGCTCCAGATGCAACGACTTTCATCTTGGTTGAGGCTGTCTTTTGCCACTGAGTTCGCCACGCTGATATTTTTGTTTTATCGGTAGCCGCCATCGATGGAACGTTGCGGAGAGCGCCACCTTTGGTCCAGTAGCGGTGGCACATCTTGCAAAAGTGGCGGGGCTGAGTGAGGTTGTAGTTGTTGTAGTAGCAGAACTTGGTGTTGGATGAATCGCATCGCGGCACCTGAGGTTGTGATTTTCGATGTGGAGTAGTGTGGGTGGTGGTAGGAGTAGTTGTTGTGGTGGTGGATGTGAGGGTAACATTATTAGTTGAGGAAGAAGGAAGAGAAGAGGGAGATGGTGGTGTTTGGCGACGGGTGCTCTGTGAGAAATACAGTGGTGTTTGGCGGCGTGTGGTGTTTGGCGATGTGTGGTGTTTGACAGCAGGAGAAAACGACGGCGGCCTGATGGGAAACCAGGAAGAGGTTGACAGCGGGAGAAAGACGACGGCGGCCTGATGGGAAACCAGGAAGAGAATAATCCCTCGGTTCCCTTTGAACCGAGTTCTAATCGTATATTGTTTGCCTCGGTTCACAGTCGAGGCATAAAAGTGCAGATCTTTAAACCCGTCTAGAATATGCTTCGGGTCAATAACCGGTGTCTATAGGCTAGAATAACCGGTTGCCCTAACCTCTGACGCAATAGTGGTGCTAGTTCATTTTTTTTTCTACGCTCAGTCAATTTTTTTCTAACTTTCTCTTCCTTTCTCTCACTCCGTCTCCTTCCTTACATCTTCCGCCTGGCTTCCCTCCCTCCATCTTCTACTCTTCTTGCTCATCAAAACCCTATCAACGTCGCAGCCACACATCAAACCATCTTTACTAACTTTTTACTTTGCCCAAAGAAGAGCAAAATGTCTTATAATTAAAAGCACTGATAGCCCAGTTCCGGCGGTCGGCAGTGTTAAGAAGGCGAAAGTGGATGTAACTCATAAATAATTTAGGTACTTCATAAATAATTTAGATTTTAAAAATTCAATTAATACTGTAATTCAAAGTTTAATATTTTCAAAAGATAGTATAGTTTTTTCTCCTGCAATTGAGTTTCCTATCAGTTTGGTTTATAACTCCAGTGATTACCCATTCGACTCTTTGATTTCATAGAAACAATATTCTAATTGGGCTACATTTCTAAACAGATGCATTTTTCTTTGGGATGTATAGCAGCAAATTTTGGAAGTTGCATAATCATAGTTATTAGTCGTTTGATAGTTGAAAATTTGTAATTATTAAGCCGATTAGTGTGGAAATTGAACTACTTGGAAATAGTGGATTTGACTGCCAAGCACCTTACGCTTTTTGATAAGTGTGAAAAAGAGTTGTTTTTATACTTATAAATGAGCTCCAATCTTGTAAATATCATGTTGTTCCTCATTGAAAGTTGTAATAGGTAGAGATTTGTTATGTAAAATATGTACAGGAAATGGGATTATTTTAGACTCGGTCAGCAATTTTCGCAAAGCGAAAAGCCAAAATTCGCACTGTCCAAATGAGAGGAAATTACGCCATTTAGCGCACCAGTACCTAGTGCGCTGAGCGAATAACATCGTTTTTAAAGTGCAGCAATTAAGAAAATTCGCATGAGCGACCAGTTACATGTGCGCTGAGCGAATTAATGAATTAAGTGGCTTTAAAAAACATGACAGAGCGACAAAACATCTCTCGAAGAAGTTTCAGGACTAAAGAGAAAGAAACGAAAACATCTCAGGAACTTCCGGAGGACTACTTCCAAGGCATCAAGACATCATTGTTGCAAGGATGCTTCAAATGTTACGTTTTTAGATTACTAGGATTAGATTAAATTCTCTCTTTCTTTGGGATTGGATGTAATGAACTCACTGTGATGCAATTTTCCTGTTCAATATCGTTGTTCGTTCATATGCTCTTTCTTGAATTTATTATCATTGTATGAAAATATAATGTTATTTGAATGTCTTTGATTACTGGAAACTAACTTTTAACATGAACGTAGATAGAGCACTTAAGTGATTTGAGATCTAGGGATAGACTCAATAACTTGATCATTCTTAACATCGGACTTAATGCAAATTGTATATTAAATTGACTAAGGTATTATCATTTTAATATATTAATTTAGAACTAATTGCTAAGGGATTAGGACTAGTGTTCCTTGATGTGAATGTTTGAATGAAGTAATGAAATATTGAACAGAGTTTTATATTCACGATTCATGAAACCCAATTCCAACGAAGTTTCTTTTAAATATAATTCCTTGCACACCAACTGTTTGATAAAAATACCAAAAAATAGTTTCTTGTGTTGTTTTGTGCATTTTGACATCTAATTGAGTTATAAAAGGATGAATTGTCATGTGTTGCACAAGTCCCTTGGGAGACGATACTTTTACTTACTCACTATATTACTTAAAACGATTTGGTATACTTGCCAAAAAGTTAACAGCTTTGGAAATGCAAAGCAGAGTTATAGCGGTTGAACTGAGCAACAACGAGCTTGGGGAGTTTCTACCGTTGTTCCCGGCATTGATGCCGAGACTTTCGTCTCTATCATTGGAGAACAATAAGTTTGTGGGAATGATTCTGACCCAGTACGCGTTGAAGACAGTTTTCCCCGAGGCTGGGATAACTCCGTTCGAGAGGCTTCTGTGGGTGCAACGTTGACTGGGGGTTTGATGAGGAAGAAGAGTGGAAGATGGATGAATAGAAGTTAGGCGTAAAGATGCAAGGAAGGAGATGGAGGGAGAGAGAGGGAGAAAAACCATAATATCTAAGAGAAAAGGTTGGAGTGAGAAGGTTGGAGTGAGAGATGAAAGAAAAATGGTTAAGAGGAATGAGAGAAGTGAATAAGAGTTTGGAAGGTTTATTTTTTTTGTTTTGATAATGAAAATTATTAAAATATTATTAATCTTAAAACTTATAATCCATGATATAAAAGGTATTTTTGTTTACTAAAATTTGGTACACATTATTAAATTTTTTGAAATACATTACTACTGTGTATATATAAGGTATTATTAATATATATATATATATATATATATATATATTAATAATATATATATTACTTCCACTTTACAATAATAATATAATAATGTGTAAGAATTTTAGATTAAAAAATAAAACAAATATGATTAAAATAGTAATATATTAAGTTGTTAAGTAATTGTATTTTATTTGATGATGTCAAAATAATACCACACCATATAAATATATGCTTGAATTGCTTAAAGATAGATAAAATTAGGTATTGTTCTGGACTAAATGTTAAAATTCCAGCTGTTAGAACATTCAAACATGTTATCTGTTTCAAAGCTCCCTTTATCTTCATTGCTTGTGATTTCTTGAGTTTCCCTCTTCCTTTAACGTCATATTTTATTCTTCTTTTAATATCCGATCCGTACGGAATATAATGTTTTGGACTATAGTATCAATATTTTTCATTAAAACATATACCTCATCAAAACATTGCTTAAGTGAATTACTCCTTTTTTGGTATACATGATATTATAGAAAAAGCATTTTGCAATCACAAAATTTAACATGAATGAGATGAAACATTATACTAACAAATTTAAGGTTGGAATGAATTTTATATAAATTTTTCAAATTTATGTTTATTTTAGAAGCGAAAAATAAAAAATAAGCAAAACAAGGTGCAACGTTGATGCTCTCTTCCACCATAGTCGAGATGTTAGGTTACAATTGTCAACAATGTACCACAACCACAACGATCTTCAATTCCAAAACAAACTTGTGTATACGTAATAAGGAGCGTGGCTTGTTTCTCGAGTCAAGTTGACGCTGAGTTTTGCACCCGAAACGCATTCCTGAGTCCAATCATCAACCTCTGCCGGAAAGTCCCGTTCATCTTCGGAGTCACGCTCCCAACATCAACAGAGAAAGAAGACCTCTTCCCCTGACGTTCCTCCATTCTCCCGTCAAACTCAATCCTCGAAGACGATCTTGACCATCGTTCTCCCTTCTTCACTCTACCATTCTCAGTTGGCACAAAATGGAAACTCGCCGAACGCTCTGACCCCAACACACCTCTCCCTTCTTCCCCTACCTTTCCGTCACATTCTCTCAACACTCTGTTCATGCACCTCACCTCTTCTTCCAGACTTCCTATGCGCGCATTCGTGGAATCCATCACCTTCTTCAGTCGTTCCGTTTGTCGCAGCGCCGCGTCGCGACGTAGGAAGTCCCCCAGCGTCATGGAACGTCGTCGTTGTCGTCCCTCATTACTCTCGAACCGGAGCTGATGACGTTGAACTTGAGAGCTTGCTATGGCGATGGAGTGGCGAGTGTTGAGATGTTCTACCAGCACCGCTCGCATCACCAATCTCAACGGCATTCTAGGGTTTTGAACACACTCTACCAGGGCAACACTCGAGAGCTTCGTGCAATCTATGCAACTGCATATTCCATTTCTCTCATCCTCCGTTACTTTCGCAAACTTGTTTTCCTTCACAAATACCATATATGCCTTTAAGATCAGTATATATATAACTTTATAACTTTTTTCTTGCTGATAAAAAAAAACTTTGATCCAATAAAACGAGACACGTGTCTTACCTGAAGATACCAATCAACCATCTTATAGAGGACGTCGTGGTTCTCGTACCTTCTACCGAATGATTCAGCCACAATTTGGAAATCTCGCGGCTGAATTTCGTTCACCTCATTTAAACGAGTGATGCCGTGAACTGAAACAAGCGCTTCAATGCATCTGCTAACGAGAGTCGCCGTCGTTTCAGCCTCGGGAAGTATCGGTATGCACGAACGGAGAACCGTTAATGCCTGGTCTGGGTTGGTGCAAACGACTTCGCAGAAGCACGTATCGGCAATGTGGCTCAGGCCGTCTGCTGCCGTCATTCCCAGTATCTCCGACGCCGTTCTGACGACGGCCACGTTGGCCGGCGTTATCTGTACTGTGACGTTGTAACAGAATTCGGCTACAGCGGCGAAGGTCTCGGCCGTTATGTGTAACGGGGGAGAGATAGTGAGGTCCGAAGTTTCCGTTAAATGGCGTTTTAGGTATGAACTTTGCGAAACCAGACGGTCCTGGGGAAAAAGTAAAAACGGAGAACATCATGAGTGTCCATCGTTTCATTATCAGCGCAAAAAAGTACAGCGCTTGTTTCTATGTAATTGGCAATAATTAAATTAAAGGAATGTCCCTACTTGTTAGGATTTAAAAGCCGCGCCATGAAAAGCAAAGCAATCACTGATCTAAAAGGGTCATGTCAAGACAAAACAGGGCGTCACTGAAGCTTCCCACAGCATACATGAAATGGATTCTTATGTTATTACTTTCCACTCAACTAATGATCACAACATTGCTTAATCACAAAAATAAATTTATAATAGATGGAATACTACACATAGTATGATTCACTTTTGACTTTTAAAATGTTCATGGGGTTGAGACTTGACAGCAATTGACAGTATCGTCAATAAGCTTGGTTGAGAATTATGTAAATATGCTGCTAACTCTAGCTGTTCCTGTAACCTCAATTGAGTGGGATTTTTAGGAAAATAACTTGCTTGGCTCCTCTAGGTTTTAGGTATAGGAAAATAACTTAATGCTGTGTTTTAATAGGAAACTGGTGTTTTTGAAATCTTTTTTATTTATATATGTATGTATAGTTCACTTACAATCTTCTTATAATAATAATAATATTGACAAATTATTCTAGTCACTCACATTTATATTTCTATATAAGATTGTGAAACACTTTTATACAAAATAGGTGATTAAACATTATAATTATATTTAAGATAATGATATTTTAACAATATTTTTTTTATAATATTTTAACATGTGTTATTCTGTTATTGATTTATATTAATGTTTATAATTATTATTATTATTGATCGTGCAGTAATTTTATATCAAAAATGACATTGATTAAAGAAAATATTATTAAAGTATCGTTAGTGTTGTAGAACTTTTCAAAGCGCTGGGGCTGATGTCCATGTGTAGAATTGACAATTGATGTAGGCGTGTAAACAACATTTTGACCTGAAATGCTGAAAAAAATAAAGTAGTTCTTAACGCTCTATCGCTAGCTGGAAGTAGATTCATATACCCTGTTCATAGGTTATTATCCTATTCCGATGACCATCCAACATTGTTATCATTCATCCTAATTTGTTCTATTGCCACTACCAATAACCAGGTTTGCGTTTTAACTTTTCTTTAACTCTAGTAATCGCAAGTATGAAAACTACAAATTGAGCCAAACATTTTGCTAGATAAGGTTAATGTTAATTTCTTATTATGAGAGTAATTGGATGCGGGTATGACTGTGTATTACTAAAGAATGAAGTTGGTAAAGAAATTGTTTTCCTAAAAAACCATCACTGTAACCACACGCAAGCCATAGAGAAAAACAGGGTTGAAGAGCATAAAATGAAGCAGAAAATCACTGGTAAATCAACCAACCTTGTGCAGACGAAAACACGTTCCTTGAACACGAATCAATACATCTGTTTCACGGCCGATTTTCTGGGACCTGGATGAATTTT